TTCAATAAAATAAACTAACACAAACTGTGTCCATGCCAAGCATGGAACGATAAGCAGCAGTGACAAGAGGCAGTGTAACAACAAACAGAGTCAACAGTGTATTAATGTCAACAAAGTGCCAAGAGTGCAGCACTGTCAACCAAAACTGTCAAGAGTGCAGCAGTGCCAACAACAAAAAGTGCCAACAGTGCAGCAGTATCAACAACAAAGTGCCAACAGTGCAGCAGTATCAACAACAAAGTGCCAAAAGTGCAGCAGTATCAACAACAAAGTGTCAACAGTGCAGTAGTAACAACCAAAATGGACAAATTGTTACTGTCAATAATAATCATGCAACAGCTGCAAATACTACTGGACACACCCAATTACAACATATCAAAATGTACCACAAGTGAAGAGAAGGAGAAGAAAGAACAAACTGCTCATGAGTCAGCTAAAGCCAGCAAAGGAACATGATCTGTTGGTCCAAGAGAAACCTCTGCTCATTACTAATGAGCAAAGCAATCTTGCAGTTTCCATGTCCTAATACTAACAGTGTGGGTTCTGGGGGGGGGGGGGGGGGGAGGAAAAGGGAGAAAAGGGGAAGGGCGTTGGGGAAAGAACCACTTTACTTAAGCATACTGTAACAGCAATTAACTAGAGGTGGTTCCTTTTAAATCAGAGGTTGGTAAACTTGCCTGAAATGCAACAGTCTGCATAAAAAAAGGTCACATCTGGAAAATGGATTTACACACAAAACTTTTGGAATAAGACCAAAGTCCAGAAATGGACGAACGACTAGAACTTTCTGCAGGAAGTACAGCCGGTGAATGCTAAAAAGAAGATGTCCTGGTATTTGCTCTGTTTATAATATGGCCCACACAAACATGGCTGTTGGATGTACCAGACAAGAATCACTTGTGAATGATGCCATGTCAAAGTTGTGATTTTTATTAACAACAGGCATTACTTAAACGGAAAGTAATACAAACTGATTTGTAGCACTACTGCTGGCAAATTAAAAAGCAATTCAAAGTAGTGTTTGTCCTTTCTACAGTCAACATAGAATAGTATAACTACTCCATGTTGAAAACAAGACATAAAATGAAAGGTATGATCTAATGCTTTCTCTTTTTAAACATTTAAGTTCATATTTATTAGGAAAAGGAAATAGTTTAAATTAGAAAAAAGTAAATTTATGTGTGCATGGCTATGGGCAAGCATGCAAGAGATAAATAATGATTTAAAGAGAGGCAGACTTTTATTAAAATGTTGACTGGAAAGATATTTGTACTAGTGCAATAGGAGACAAAAAGCTACCAAAAGCTAATGCACATTTCCTACTATTGTAGATAAAAAATGGGGAAAAAAAATGATAAAAAAAGATTTTAAACGAAAGAAAGGTTTTTAATATGATTATTGATTAAAAAAAAAATAGGCATCTGGGGGTTGCGAACATTCTTCATAATACCAGGGTTCTGGTCTGATCCCAGGCAATCTGGAAGCAGACCACTTAGCGTTGGTTTCAACAATGGTATCCAGAGCCGACCGTTTAGAAAGCTATGGCAATCTACTCAATGTAAATTTGCCTAGAAAAATCATAACAGCTAGAAGGAAAAAAACATTCTGGGGCTGGTTATGCGACATCCTATAAAGGATATTCAACAAAAATTTTAATCTGGGCAAAAACTTTCTAAAGCAAAATATAATGAAAGGACCACTAAGAAACCTGCTTCTTTGTGAACCATACAGTCAGCCAGCTTACATAAGACAGCACTGGCCCAGTGGTTAAGGGAGAGCAAAGGATGTCATTCACCAGGTCTGGAACATGTAAACCCACCCTATCACGTGGTTCTTCCAAACAGTTTTGTGAGATCTGCAATAAACCCTAACCTAATCTCTGGCAGGACAAATAAACGCTCACGCTGATCAAGATGAATCTTACTTAACATAACTTTACTTATAAAGGATTCACTCATCTGCTTAATTTATGTAACTGTAGTATGCACCTGACAAAGTACAGTGAAATATGCCGGTAATAAATTTTGCAATCTGCTGTTTGTGTCTTCTTTATTCAAATACAGTATGCAATTTTTTTCTTCTTTGAATCTAATGGTTACATCCAGGATGAATTCACTGAAGAAGCCAGAATGTTACCAAGTATATATACAAGATGCAACCAGAAAGAAAGAACCAGACACATGGAGCAGATGATGTGAAAGCACACTGACTATGACAGTAAGAAAGTATCTCACCACAGGCAATCAATACATGCCATTATTAACATAGCACTGGTTGAATTGTCTGTCATCTTTTTTTCTCTTTCTTTCTCAAATCACAAGGAAAACATGGTGATCCAAGGATGTTACACAAAGCCAAGGGAGGTTTTAAGCTGGCTCTAGGAGTGTTTCAACCTGCTGTATGAACCTTAGCAAGAGTCGGCAGTTAAGGAAAAAGATTATTTTTAGGAAAATACGTGAGTGCATGTTTCCAGACACTTTCAGAAGCAGCCTGCATGGTTTAGATGCACACGTTCACCCTTCAATTACAGCTTTTACTTCAAAGTGGTCCAAAACAACCTGCAGCAATCCTACAAGTTTAAAGCAAACTTTCCTAAATGCCTAAAATTATACAATCACAAAACAATAAACAACAAAATAATTGTTTTAAAGAAAAAAGAAATAAAAAGTGTATCACAAACAATATTAAAAAGTTCCATGCCCCCAGCAAACAGAAAATGCACCAGAAACAGATTACAACACTGAAGAGCATGAGAAGTGAAGTGTACAGACGACTGACTGGTAGACATACGTGTTCCTGAAGCTTTGCCGCCAGTCGGGGAGCTGCCATAACCAGTCTTTGAGAAGTCCTGCGCCTGGTTTAGCTCATCATATCCTGATAAACATTGTTCACTGCTTTATTTTTTCTCCTATCATTTCCATAATGGACAGATTACTTAATTATCTGGTTGGTTTTATCTTTCACCAGTTGGTAATATCATAACTTAAGTCCTAACAAACCATAACACTTAACTCTTAATACTGGAATCCCTAGCAAAACTACAAGAACCAACTTAAATATCCTACAATGTACCATTATCTCTTTATTTATAATAGCATTCAAGACACCAATTAATGACCTTTAGAACTACTGAACTAAAAAAATTTTTTACATCCTTTCAGAATGTAATCAGTATAATCCCTGGTGCCTATGTTCGGTGCTTTAATGTTTTTTCACCCCAAACAGAAAGCCCAATATTTTAGGGAATGCATAAAGTGGTGTTCCATTTCTCAAATGACAGGTGACTAGCTAGATATGGTTCCTGATATTTAATAAGTACAATATGACTACACTGCCAGTATGTTATACCTTTACATTTATATTATTAATCATGTTAATTACCAACAACAGTTTTCAATCCTGCTGCCCAGACAAAGCTGTTGATGGGTTTTTGACGACATGTGAAGTTTTTAGGCAAGGGTCACTATGCCTACTGGATGTAACTGCATAGTGTAGAGGCATGACAGGTGTGTGCTCTTATATACCCAATTATATAAATTTTTTTTTTTTAATTTATATATTTTTAATGGTCTTGAAAAATTTTTTAATTCTGACATTGTGAGCGACGTCATAATCATCTCATAGTAAGTCACTTTGCTCCCTATGACCCAAGTCAACAAATCCTCATTTTTTGGGGTCAAAGGAAAGAAAAGTAGTTAATTTTTGTATTTAGTGATGTACTTTTGTATGAGAAAAAGATTTTAAAAACTATGAATTATATTAGTGATCTGATGGCCGCATTACAGGCGCGGACTTTACATTTGCCTGTCTGCAGTGGTCTACGGGTTCAAACCCCTGTATGTTTACTAGAAATTTATCAAGGCTCTAAATTTCTTCTACTATTTCTCTTCCTCTAGTATATTAGAATAAAAGTAAAGTGAAGGACCCTTTTGAGCGTATTATGTATATAGGGCTAGACCTATATTTTATAAACCAAACGGCACTTGGTGGGTGATGTGTTCAGCAGCATCTTAGAATACTTTCATCAGTTATAAGGATGTGTATAATGCAATTCTGAAAAGGGTCATGGGTAAGTTAATTCAGTAAGTAACAGTATGAAAATTAACAGGTCCAGCTGCTAGCGAACTAGTGCATAGTGTATCAATGTCTGCACTCATGATATATTCATTTGCTCAAGAGTGATTATGTAAGGCAGGGCTATTTATTTAAGTTTACACACTTTGAGGATCATCACTGCCAGAGACCCTGGCCCCCAGCACAGAAAGATCATTATTACAACTGGCAGCAGTCAATGGGTCACTTGCTGGACATCCGCGGGCCATCAGTTGAGTAAGTAGCCCTGATGTAGGGTACTGCTTTTCTATACCCCACCTGTTGTGATCAGTATGTTGCAAAACCACTAACATTATAAACAATCACATTACCAGCATTTTTTCCCTGTTAAACAAACATCTACTTCTTTCACTGAGTATTTTGTGAACATGTATTTGCAATAAAACGTGCCATATCCTGAATAATTTTAGCGTATACAAAAACTACAACAAAGCATTACAAGAAATAATATTCTGAAGTGAAACAATTCTAAATTAATCAAACACAAAGATGTATAAACAAAAAGAAACACAAAAATGAGACAACAAAATTTCAAAAAAGTTTATCATAATTAAGTAAGAACTTTTATTTGGCATGTCTCAGTATTTAATCCAGTGATGTGTATATTTATTTTTCATAAAAGAAATTGATCAGGAAAATTCCTTTCCTTAGTAAAAAAAAATATTCAAAAGGAAAACAAACCACAAGCTCCCAAAATGTTCAACAAATAATCAATTTCTGGCAAACAGGCTAGCCTGAAAACACAAAGACAAACAAAGGAGAGAAAATATACAATGAAAGGAAATGTCTCAAGCTTGTACTTAGTACCTAAATGCTGACACTATTTAAAATAAAAAAATAAAAAACAAAGTTTAAAAATCTCAGTGAAAGCAAGCATGAAAACTAACCTTTAGTGTACATATGAGGGGCATAGGATTTCTGAAACTGTGTATTGGCTGTTGTTCCTGCATGGGCAGCTGCATTTGTCACAGGAGGAATCTGCAGACAGAGGTCGAATGATAATGTTATTGAAAGAGTGATATGCAGAAGATGTAATATAATGTAAGCAAAGATCAAAAAAGAATACAAGGTGTCCATAATGTAAGACTAAAAGCAGAAACTGTTGCAGTCTTCAGAGTGGCTGTAGAGGATGTGTGCATCCACTGCTGTTCATCTTCATTATAGTCCCTGTGGCCTGACTGATCTGCTCCTTCCACCTAGGTCGGGGAGTTGCAGTGGTTCCTGGTTGCATACCTAAGGCTAGTTTAATCTGTCAAATTCTGTACCTAGGTATTTCTTGGTCTGCCTCTTCTCTTCTACGAGTCCTGCCGTACTGTTTTTTAAGAGGCTGAAACAACATCTTATTACATGTCTGTACCACTTCATTTACCGTCAAATATACATAATACTATAAATCTCTTTTTGGTTTAATTGAAAAAAGATTATTAGTGCTGCAGACTTGGCTAACTGTTAGGGTTCCTGTCTTTTCCAATGCATCCGAAAACTAATTTGGGAGCAAATGGAAGCAATGTTGAGGGCCCAAGTATCTATGAAAAGAATCACAAATGCTGTACAATTTGTTGCCAGAACCTTAACTAACAGTCTTAATGGCACAGCCATCTGTTTTAAGTGTTGTCAAGTGAAAAAAAAAAGGGATGTCACACGAAGAGCCCACACTTTCACAGACTGCTCATCAATAATCAACAATACAGACAGAAACTACTTACTGGAAACATGGGGTACTGTACACCTCCTGGAAACATTGATGGGTAGTAGTAGCCATAGTTGAAGTGGAACAGGGGCTGCTGAGCAGCAGAGTGGGCATTCTGTGGCTGGCTGGCACTGTTGGGGCTTTGAGCGTCTACTCTTGCCAACTTGGATGCATCTGCTGTGGTTCCTGTATTGAGGGGCAAGAAGGGTGCATAGTGCCCTAATGAGCATGAAAACAAGGATGAGAATAAGTTATATAAACTATCATGAAACTCCTCACCATTCTGCACTATTTAGCAGCGAGCTACCTAAAGTGTTAGCTATATTCCAAAACAACACACCACTAACTTAAGCATTATTCTTGTTTAATTAATGAAGGAAATAAAATAATTATTACTCAAATTCTGACCAGGCTGTGAATAAGTGGAAAATTAAACCTGCACCCACACTGTATGGTGGTGACATAAATATGTGTGGCTGCAGCTGAGCATATATAAAAAGATACTAAATACAACACAAACTGACTGAAAGATCAACAGAGGCAATGGAAAGGATCACTAAGACAAAATTGGCGTTTCTGTTACTGTCAAAAAATCTTGTTCCAATGATCGATTGAACAGTCCCTAATTCAAAAATCATTTTATTCAGTTTCGGCACTCAGTCCCCTGAGGATTCAGCAAGTTTTTGTTTTTGTGTTTTTTGTGTGTTTATATCTCCAGCGTCTTACAATTGCCCCCCCCCCCCCCCCCCCCCCCCCCCCCCCCCCCCCCCCCCCCCCCCCCCCCCCCCCCCCCCCCGTAATGTAGTCCTTCCTGTCCAAATTTTCAAATATCAAGTATTTCTAGTTCCATTTCTAAATGTTTGCAAGTTTTGTTGACATTTGTACTTCTAGTCACAGTTCGTGTTGCATAATTCATTTAGTGCTAACAAACGTAAAATATGGTTACGAATATTTCTGCACTGAAAAAAGCACAACAGATTTCTCTGATGAGACAGTCAGTCTCACACCAACCTTCCTTAGTTACCTCTTGTGACATGCTTAGCAGGTTAATATCACTATTGGCTACCTTATGTGCTCATCTTGTTTCAATAGAAGAGATGTGCATAAAAGTATCTTTACAAGGCCCTTTCCCATAAAACTCACTAACCCTAAGAGAGCCCTGATCTCCTTTGCCTTCATTGCCATCCTAGCACACAGTATTTCCCTAGTCTCAGTTACCAACACAGCCTTCTGTTGATGCCCTTTTCCACAGAAGAGCCCAGTTCTTTATAGTGATGCAATTTTTTAGGGCATATTTAAGGGGGGGGGGGGGGGGGGGGGGTGTGTGTAAAATATGGACTGTCAGGATTGTCTGATGACACACTGATAGAATTTACTATACCATAAAAAGACTTCTAGACACCAAAAGTTTGTTCTCTGCAAAAAATGTGTCAGCTTCAAATTCTTTGCACTCCCTTTAGGTGGGCCCACTCGCTGCAACACTGAATGAACTGGTATTCAAGTCACTGAGGCCCTAGAAAGGTATCACCTCTGTGATATTCAAAGTTCTTTTTCCTGACCCAATAACACAGTGCCATCCCAACAGTGCCAGCTTCTCTCTCTCTCTCTCTCTAAGCAGGGCAACCAGTAAAATGTGCATGACTAGTCTTCTTCTTCTTCACATTCATCAGCTGCAAACTCTGGCGGAAAGTCCGGTTGTTCATCCACTTCTGGACTGTAGTCCTGTTCCAGAACTTGAGTGTTGCGTGTGCATTCGTTGTCAGATCTGACTAATTTGTATGCAGACTGTTGGTTCCTTGCCTCTCAGGCAGATGCACTCTGACTTCAAAGAAAGCTCTCAATTAGTTGACTCAGTTACAACATGCTTTTGGGTAGGCAGTGGGTCCATTTTTGTTTTCCCTAAAACAGGCCCCAGTAACCCACACAGGGGTGCATGACTAGTATTTTTAACTTCATACCTGCACAGAGGCCATGCAACCAAGTCACGAGTTAACAGCCGAACACAACCAGGTCATGTTTGCAAAAAGGTAAAAATTAACACCTTTTATGCTAGACTCATTCTGTGTAAACTAATCGGCACTGGCTTGGTGATGTGTTCAAGATCACATCAACCACCTATACTTCCCAGGAAATTTTGCTCATTCAACCTATTTTCAGCTGGTCTGAAACAAAATCCAACTCAAATGTGAGTTCGAACCCAAGACCTTCGGACTAGCAACGAAGCGCCAATCTGTATTGCTGGCTAGGTATAATATAATAACCCAGGAAAGAAATGTTGTACTAAGTATATAATTTAAAAGTATAATTAAACAAAAAATATATTGATCTAATGATAGCTTCTGACAAATCATGCACAGGCTTCAAACACTAACCTGAAAATGGAACATTAGGTAGCGGTGGCTGGTCACGAGCAGCTGGCAACGTAGTCGCAGCTGGGGCAGAGAAAGCACTCATGTCATAGTAGCTACCCGTTTGCTAGAAACCAGAACAAGGGTATATTTTAGTTTCCAAAGTCAGTTTTTAAATGTAAAAAAGCTTAGCTATACAATGATTAAAATTACACTACAGAAATAATTTTAAATGTTTAACTGGTTTAAAATTCAGAAATTAACAACAGTAATAAGTAAACACTGCAAATTATTGACTTTCATGTCATTCACATAATGAAATGGTTAAACATATTAAACAAACTTAATGAACAAATACGAAAAGGCTCCTTGAGAGTGCCTGAATCAAATCATCATAAGCCATTCACTCTTTATCAATGAGAAAGTATACCGGCATTACTAAGTGAAAGATGAGTTTACAACCTAAGATCTCACCAGTGGCATTCTCTGTTGAAGAAGTTGTACATCTTCATAACCATACAATGGTGGCTGCACACTCTGTTGAAGAAAATTAGGATCAGTTAGTTGATTACTGCATTATCAGAATACACAAATTGTGCCCTACTGAACTTGTGTTCACATATCTGTTTATACTCTCCTTTCTTCAGAACACATTTTTTAAATATTTTCTGCGGCAAAGTTGTCAACACTGTTAGCTGGACCCATTTTTTAATGTTTTCTGTGGCAAAGTTGTCAACACAGCTGAACCCATTTTTTAAATGTTTTCTGTGGCAAAGTTAACACAGCTGAACCCATTTTTTTTAAAAATGTTTTCTGTGGCAAAGTTAACACAGCTGAACACATTTTTTAATGTTTTCTGTGACAAAGTTGTCAACACTGTTAGCTGAACCCATTTTTTATGTTTTCTGTGGCAAAATTGTCAACAATGGAAACAATGGCCTTAGTACTCAAAAGTTCACACACACAGTGGCTCGATATGTACTAAAACAATCCAAGGTGGATTTATGAGGCAAGAATGGATTGCAACACTACACTTCATTAAAAGTTGCCTTAACCATCTTTGTGCCAGATAATGCGGGTGTTCAAGAAAATGAATGTGCAGACTCTCTTGCTGACACTGCAGTTGCCATGGCTAGTCCAGTGCTGGACAGAAGTGATGTTATCAATGCCATGCGCTGCACTTACCATACTAAGCAGTACGCCAAAGACATGACTCCGTATCCCTGTCTAGAGTGATGGACATGGGGGTGCAGCCTGAAGCTGCATGAATTGAACATTTCACTAAGGGGACAAGACGTTTCATTAACCAACACAGAACAGGTGTCATCAGTCGTTTTACACATGTGGAGCTTTTGAGGAGATCTGAGCACCTCTGGATCTGTCCGGAGTGCAAAGTTGTCAACACTTTGTTGCAGGTTTTTACTTGAAGTGCTTTATTTGATTCAGTCAGTGTCTGTGGCTAAGGCATTGGGAACCCGATCCCAGCTGCAGGTGGTTTGGCAGTAGATTACATTGTGTTGATTTCAACAGTGGTATCAAGAGCCTACCGTTCCGCGAGACTGCAAACTACTGAGTGTACAACTACCTAATTAAATCACAGCCACACACAAAAATGCCGGGGTTGGTTCTGTAAAGGACATGCAACTAACTTTCATTTGATTCTCAAGATTTATTTCTCTGGAGAATCCTAGAAGTCAGTGCAGAATTAGTGCACCCTCTGTAAGGCAGCTCGCCAATTTGCAGAGGTTTTAAGGTTTAACAACGGATCAACATCATGGCACACGGGTAGTAGCCATAAGTGCTCGTTCTCTTAACTCAAGTCTGAGTCCGAAGAAGCTCAGTGCAGTGCACAGGCTCTGTAGCACCGGCGAGGATCTTAAAATACTTTGGGTAGATTTTTAACCCCGCCGTTATGCTACTCTTTCTGATTTCCAGCTGCCAAGGGATCTTTTTAATGTGCACAACATTGCACATGGGCGTTTGATCTCACTACCTAGAGAAGATGGGGAATTACTAGAAGTCCAAGTCCACTTGAAACAAATCCCAGCCCTTACCGAGGATTGAACCCGGAATCTCTAGCACTCTAAGTGGACACCATGCCTCGAGACCACACAGCCTCCAGCCAATTTGCAGTAGACACTACTGCAGATGGGATAAAGCCATGTGATAATAATTCTAATATCTCACCTACCCAACACCTTTTACTCTTGCAGAATTATATCTTTCTTAAATATCTAATTATAAGGAGAAAATTCACCTAAGTTAAGAAGTAACTTACATAGAATGGAGGCATGGTGCTCTGTCCCATAATGTACTGTCCCATCAAAGGTACACCAGGAGGCAAATTTGGTGGAGCTTTGCCTTGGGAGGAAAATTGTTAAGCCGTTAATATTTAGGGTCGCAAAGGTTAATTTTAAAATAAACAACAAACAAAGATTTGTTGAGAGATGTTTCCAAAAAAATGACAGGCTGTAAGACATCAAGAACAGTAGAAAGACACGAAAACAATGATTTTTAGGCTTCGCTTCGGAATGCTATTTTTTTGGGACCCAAACACACAAGATCAGGAAAGTTATAGACATCTCTAAACTCTTTTGGTACCAGCATGTGATTACTGAAATTCTTTATATCTCTAGATATTCTAGTATAAATTAGCGACTGAAAAGTCCAAAGTAGTTTAAATATTAACACAGAGATAAAGACAGCAATTCTTGTTAATGATTTAATGCAACAACTATCCGTGAAAGAAAAGATTCAGTATTGAGTCTTCGGACTAGGCAAGGAACACACGAGTCTCATGGTACCAAAAGAGTTAAAGTCCCTTTTCCCAACCCAAGGGTGAATGTACAAAGCCCAAACCGACAAACCAGAACCAAGCTTACTTGTCGATGGCATGGATGCTATCCGTGATGCTGACGTGATGGATGTAGCAGTAGACGTAGACGATGATATGGTAGTGGTACCTGTAGAGAGTGAAGTCGTGCTTGTAGCTGACGGCTGGCTCAGTGATGTGGAGACTGTGGTAACTGATGTGCTTGGGTGATCAAACTGCCAAAGAAGTATTGCATACTATCAATACTGCAGTATATCAATGTAAACATAATTTAATTTCAACATCTGAACACAGTTTCACAGAAGATTCAGTTTCTCTAATAATGGAGAAAGATTACAGCTTCATCTTAAATGATACTGCATTCATATATGAAACACATTCTACAATCAAGTTACAGAAATATTACCATTTTCAGTGTATGCTTCTGACAGATGTATTTCTAGACCATCCTAAACAGACATAACTTGAATATTTACAGTATTCTGTCAAAATGAGGTTTTTAATCTCAAGTTTTTATTTAAAGTCAGTATAAGAATTTTCTGATGTTCACTCATAACAAATGTTCATTACCTCTAATCATCTATGCCTCTGCTCTTCAGCTTGCAAATCAAAATCCCATTCTGTTATGATACGCTTACTATTCCCATGCAGCATATTTTTATGAAAACCTAAATGCTGTCCTGAACAATTCGTTCGAAGCTCTATAGAAAAAAATTGCAGCGTGGCTTGGGTCAAGATAAAAGCCTTTACTTTTAGTCTTTTTATTGCTAGATGCAGCAACACTATGGTATCAATTCTGTGTATTATTTTTCAGATGTGCAATTAATCTGACCCAAGTTTTTGTGTGTGTGGGGAATAGAAGTTTGCCAAGCTCTCTGCCTCCATGAATATAGTGTGAATGCTAGTTTTATTTTACCACCTTCTTCGGTGACTGGTGATGTGATGTTCTGTGCAACAATAACTGGATTATTTTAGTCACTGCAACACTTATTTTCAGTCTTGAGACTACTACATCACCACTAAGTGCTCAATCTTCTTCCACACACCTTAGAAAAAAGGTTCACCTAATCGGCAGCACCAACGAGGATTTTTTTTAAATGACAGAACAGCACACATTATTAACACTGCTTAAAGAGGGTGGGTTTTCTCACTTTAAAGTTTCAAAGTAATCTGGTAATCCTAGTTTCAGCTTCATAGCAAACGGGTCACCCCATAGTTGCTCCGCTCCTGTGCCAATGAAAAACACACATAGCTCACAGTGTCACGCCATGCACTCAACTCAGAAGCTGGGCGACGAAGCTATATCCTTCCAATCTACAAATGGAGCAACAAGCAACAGCCACCGTCTGGCAGGAAAAAAAAAGTGGCCGTGCCTAGCGTCCATTTTGACCTGAAGCATTATATGAGGGTTAATAAATGGTCACCCCAGCAGTACCCTCATTATTAGCTGGGGAAGGGACTTAGGACATCCACCAGCAGGCGTCGCCCCTACAACGACCTGCTTGCCTTCGTTAACGACTGTTCACCTAACAGCCATGCAGTTCTTTGGCACGAAGGAGACACCTTGAACTTGGGTTTCGACTCCCTACAAGATATTTTATGTTTTATCACACTTGATGTCACCACACATTGGGCATACTCATGCGTGCTCAGTTCTCCGAAGCAGCAACCACTCCAAAGTACTAATACTAATTGTCCCATGAGAAGATGGTGATATCGCCTCCTTTCTCGGCCTCAAAGATGGCAAAGACGTGCATCACCATGCTTAACTCCCATGTCACGCAATCATATTAGTGTCAGGGATTCCTCATTCTCCACTAGCCCAGTTCGTACAGCGCTGATGATATCTGCTCTGTCAATGCTTTTCCCCCACAATCATTAGTGCAGTGCTTAAAGTTTATCGAGCCTATTCTTTTCCGGGATTTAAGGTGTAATGAGAACTAGCCTGACTTCACAGTCACTACATTAGACCACAGGGAAGAGGAAGAAGGAGAAATGTAAGTTCCATATTTTATTTTTAAAAAACACAAACACATGGCTGGTCTTCTGAAGCGTAGAAACAAATGATCTACCTCTAGATAGGTAATCCCTAATTAGATTACTTGTTAACAGTCACATTGAGAAACATTTTTTTTTAACAAAGGGTAAATCTATATTAGAATTGCAAAAACAACACAGACAGACAATTTTTAAAGGGTGGGGGAGGGGTGTTTGAAGTGATTTTTGATTTAAAAAAAAAAAAGGATATCACAGGCTTTTTAAATCTACACCAGCGTTCCTGAACGTTATTACACCCATAGTTCACCAAAACAAGGGGAATTGTATCATTGCCCATCGACCTATCAGAAATAAAACACAAAACTAGATGCATAGGAGACCAGAATCATATTTTTCAGGTAAGAGTGAGCAAAACAAGGAATGCATACTCTGTGAAATCTATATATGCTGTTGGTGACAAACCTCACTTAACCTTTTTTTCAACAGGTTTTCACTCATATTTGCTTCAAGGATGATCATGTTTCAATATAATTTAATTTGTTTTTGTGTTATTTTCAGTTCCGCTTTTGAATAATTTATCAAAAACCTCTTCTAAACCTACTAAGACTGTTACTAATCTAATATGAACTTTTTCTGTTTTGCAGGTTTCCTATAACTCCCACTTTTTCTGTTTTGCAGGTTTCCTATAACTCCAAAGTTAATCATTACTTCAAACAATTTGTGCTTTTTGAATCTTACCAGTGTAAATACGTTTGTTCTTCCATGTGTAAAACCAACCTCACTGACATGAATACTAGCAATTAAAAAAAAAAAGGCATTGCTACTAGATTTTGTAATCAGCTGAAAAGACAAATGCTTGATTGTTTACACGATATATTCAGAAAAAAAGTTAAATCTCGTATTTAATAAAAATGTAGGTCACTTCCATGCCAGCATGACAGAGTATTAGGAATCAAGTCATATCTTCTTAACTTCTTTGTTCAACAGCTGTTTAGCGTGTACAACCATTTTGCTGGCTTTTGCCGTTTCCTGCTTCACGGGCAGATGTACTCCCGACTTCGACATCTTAACCAAATAAAAGCCGATAGGTCATCTCACTACCTACAATAGCCAGCATTTAGTGCATAATGCAGGTTAACAAATAATACACATGACCTCATTAGCTATTTCTCTTGATTTCTAAATGCTCTTAACTAATGAAAATTATTTGCCTTGTGTAAGTGTCAAATAATTACAGATGTGAGATATGAATTGTAAATAACTTTCATTTATTTAACGCAAATCAAAAGATAAAATATTATACATGTAAAATTTAGTTTACAAAAATAGATGAATGTTTTGATTTATTTAATTATAAAATATCGACACATAAATCTAGCTAGCATTCTAGTTCAACATTTAATATTGCTTGCGCTTGCTATACCACACCTCCTCTTTAAGCACCTGTTTAGGCCATTTTTAAAAAAGACAGTTGCATATTTAGGGGTGATATTTAACATCAAAATGTATTAGAACTATAATTAATAAAAAGCAGAGAATATAAACATTACCGAAAAACTGTATTTGTGTCATCCCCACTGTTGCCGTTATTTCTCCCCTAAGTAAAACATGATATATGTGACTATCAATCAAGGAGATGAGGCAGGAATAAAGAGAAGGCCAATCTGGGCAATAAATGCTTGCAGAAGTTGAATGTGTATGCCGAAAGGCGGAAATATTGCAGCAATATTGCAAAAGGGCAAAACACATTTACAGAAGAACATATGAAGTGTGCGCTGAGTAGTTTATAGTTGGCACATATGTTACCAGAAGAAAAAGGTAATCAATAATGGGTCTAAGATCACAAAAGATGCCCCAAACTAACCTTTTGTCTAAAATCACAAAAGATCTTCAAAACTAACTTCAAATTCGAACAAACGAATTAACTTTATTTTCAAAGGGTCACAAATTGGGCACGCAGGCCCGTCTTACATTAGGCCCTTCCAGTCAACCATCTTTCACACAGCAGGTGTATTTTACTAATAAAGCATGTTATGATCATATGATGATATGCATATTATGAATATTATAAAAGAACACAAAAGCATGAGTTGTAAAGTGCATGCAAAAACCCGCGTGTGCATAAACCCACATACACACGCTCACTTACACACACACATTACATACGCACAGGCATACATACATACAAACATACAGGCATACATACATAATACAGGCATACACACACACACAAACATACATATATACATACATACAAACATACAGTCACAAATACAGTCATGCATGGAGACACACATGCACACACAGATACTCCCACAGACAAAAATACAGACACTTACATACAAACACACACAGGGAAACACACAGCAGCCATTTTTACATACGTGCTCACACACTGACACACACACACATACGCAGACAAACATGCAAACACATACATACAGCCACATAGACACACATGCAGTCAAACACACACACACACACATGCAGTCAAACACACACACACACACACAAAAATACAGACAAACAGGCAAACACACACTGACACCCACGCAGACATGCATACACATACAAACACATAGAAATTCACATGCAGGCATATATATTCAGCACGCACAGACAAATACTCTGACATGCAGACACACACACAACAAAGGAGCCCACACAATACACACAGAGAAACAGACATGCACACACAGACAGACACATGCTGACACACACACACAACAAAGGGACACACACAATACACACAGAGAAACAGACATGCACACACAGACAGACACATGCACTCACGCATACATACATATATACAGACACCCACACACAAAGATGCATACATACAGCCTCATAGACACACACCGCAGACAAACACACATGAACATACACAGGCAAACATGTAGACAAACACATACGAAGACACGAATATATTCACAGAGTCACATCAAATATGCAGACAAACACTGATTCAATAAACAGTGGCCATAAGTGTGTATCTTGTCTGAGTATTCAGATAGCAGACTATAACTTTCACTATAGTAGGATATCTTGAGAATGGTATTGACTGGTGGTAGGTGTTTTGTTAAAAATAAATTTAACATTCCTTTTGTGTATTTCATTTTGACGTTTTTTTACAGAAAACCCCAGTTTTATATCCTGGATTTGGCAACAGCCTGTTCAAAGTGGAGAAAATTATCACAAAGTATATACATTATGTGCCATTCTGCATTAGAATAAAGTGTGATAAATGTATTGTGATTCAGTTATTTATGGAGAACAGATAAATTTTGTCATGAGGCTGGAGAAAAAAACTAGCACTAGAGAACGTAAACTGTTGACTAGCAAGCACTTAACAAACATGGTCTGGTTTAAACCCTTATTTTCTATACTCACTGTTAATATTGCACTGGCTGCTTAAGCTGTGACAACAGCTTGCTGTGATATTTGCACCTTTTAGCTCAAAACATATGATTTCAGCAAAACTAATTAGCTATCGTTTATTACCTGCTTGCTAGGGGGAAGTAGGTCTATCCCCCCCCCCCCCTCCCGGGGTACCAGAACCCACATAGGGACCCTGTTGCCAAAATTGACTTTAAAGACTAAATCTTCTATAAATCATTTTAGGTTGAAGAAAATATGCTTACTTGAGAAGTCTGAAGGCCATCTAAAGATGCGTCATCCTTAAGGGTCATCTTGGACAACCCATCACCTAATTTGTTTGTGAGAGAAGGCTGCAATGCCGCAGGCGAGGTATTAAAACTCTGCTGTGAATTGTAATTTGTATTGGTTTGAGACGTGGCAGGCTTGATTGAGGACTGAGGCGTTGTTGGATACGTCACCCCCGTCCCAGGCTGCGAGCTGGCAGAGGAGCTCGTCTGAATGTCCCGTGGGTGATACGAGCCTGCAGACGGTGACTGGTAGGAGGTCTGCGTTGTGAATGAGTTTGCTTGTGTGGATGCAGGATATATAGAGCTGCTGGTGCCGCTGGTTTGATTTGATGATGGGTAGCTGGTCTGAGATGGTGGATGTGTGGGGAATGAGTTACTGCTCTGATATCCTGAGTACTGTGACTGTCCACTGGTGTAACTGTTCTGAGGCCCTGATGAATACTGAGACTGGTGATTTGCATGTGGCACTGGTGGGTGACCGGAGGCGCTCACGGATGCAAACTGGTTCTGTCCAGAAGAGTACTGGTTCTGAGCACTGTTATAAGTGGACGGCTGGCCCGACGGGAACTGTGCTGCCGAGGGAGGATTTGAAAACTGGCTCTGTGCCGCTGAAGGGTACACTGACTGGTTGGTTGGGTATTGTCCTTGGAAAGAAGCAGTTTGGGACACCTGTGAGTTGGTCGTGTGGGTGTAAGTCTGTGTCTGCGCCATACTTGAACTCTTCTGGTGGTTTGGGTATGAAGATGGAGCGTAGCCGTTTGCTGCAGAGTAATTTGTGGATGCTTCACTTTTATTTTGAGACAGAGATCCTGCAGGGGATAATGGAGATGAAAATTAATATACAAAGCATAGCTGATTTGCTTCCTGAAAATGAAAAATACGAAAAATACAGCCAGTTGTAGATCTTAGTACAATAAGTTTTTTGTCGAAATTTTTTTCTTTGAGTGAATTGTAAAAAAAAAAAAAAAAAAAAAAAAAAAAGAATTAAAATGTCACACTATCAAAATCAACTATAGGTATTAATACTCTGACATTATTGAATAGACATACGTGGGCAGAATGTTAAAAATGGTAAAATACTATACTGCTGGAAAAAAATGCATAAGTAAGTGATGGAAAGTTTTATTAGTTGATGAGATGCCTACAACTATTGAGGACACAGGTGCAAAAAAAACAGTCAACTGATTGGTATTTCTTGGCATAATTTGAAACATTTCACTCAAAGACTATCAAAATTATGATTAAAAAAAATTATGTGCAACAGCTATACACTTCAGTAGTGTAGTTTAAAATATGCTGTAACTGTGTCCAGAATAAAGCAGCTAGATGGTCACACCCTCTTTTTGTTAGAAAATATGAGATAATGAAAGTGTCCCGACCGCTGCGATTCTTATTTCAACAACTGGGAAAATATGAGGTAATTGGAGTGTCCCGACTGCTGTGCTGTTGATTTTTAATTCAACGACTGTTGGAAAATGAAGTCCATTCGTTTAACTGAAGGTGACTTACCTGAGCCAAGACTTTGGTTTGTCTGTCCTGTATGCTGTGCCATCATGGGACTGGACTTATGATCCAGCTGTGATGAATAGGCAATGGGCTCTGAAGCACTTATCTGCAACGACAGAAACACACACATAAACATGAGATGGCTGATATTTACAAGAAACCAAAGGTAAGTGAATCCAGTGGTATATTCATTCTTCTTTTTGTCTGTCTCAGAGACTGATGCGTGTATGTCCAGGTTCTCTACACGCTTGTACTAGATCAGGTAGACACATACGTCCTAGGCTGTCTAACAGTGTAACAGTGTCAATGCTCACAAGCTACAGCCCCTGTCCAACAGTAACAAATGACTGAAGACAGGTCTACCGTCAATGACCGGCACTTCCACACAGCAACATGGTCAGCATATGACGCACATGGACAGGTCAGGTAAACAGCGCAGACTTCCATACATCAAATGGAGTCTTTTTTAGCAAAACACTGACGACCTGGGCAACCAATCTTGACAACCACACAGTGCCACTAATGACACAAACAGCAGACCAATAATTTCAGAGGAATTGACCTTCATATTAGGTCTTATAATAGGTGCAAACTTTTCACACTGCACACCAATAACATGGCTTTGTCTGTATACACTCTGTAGTCTGTGACACCACTCTCTCTAGTATATATCTGTAAATTAGATAATTTCACTGCCCTAACAGCTCCATATACACGAAACTTATAGCTACTGCTCTGTAACATAGTGAGGATTGACATCCGCTGTAGCTAATGTTCTTAACGCAAGAAGTTTGGCCTGTAAACAGTGTTGTGGTTACTGTTCTCAAGCATAGTGGTGTTCGGCCTCCAATAATGTACAATCCAGTATAGGGAAACTTGGTCTCCCTCCACTGACGGTCTCCACTGTAGGTAGGCGTGGTCCCTAAATGACGTATGACAGGGAAATTAAAAAAAAAACTGAGCATGGCTTAGCTCCCTATTCAGGGCATCACTACAGCCAAGGCCACACGTAACAAGTCAACAACCAAAATATATTTGGCACAGATTACATGTCCTCTCGTAACCACTAACACTGCATAAGAACGATGTAATAAACTACACCATGCCAAGTATGGTCGTTTAGTCTGATCAGTTTTTTTTAATGGACACATTGCGACGGAGATCAACTGGTGATCAATGTCTCAGTCTACCACTGCTGCCAAGTAAACCCACACAGGCAGTCTCCAGAACATGAACAAAACACTCTAGCAAACTATGTACAAGGCGGCTGCTACACCTATGTGATGTGCAGTGACAGTTTTCTCCCTCTAAGATTCCTGGGTAGATGCACCACTTGGTGAAAAGAATATAGATCTCCCATCTGCTACCAACTCACTCACTGATATATCACTACTGATCAACCTACAGTTTACCTGCCTCAATACCTCCCCATCATAACTCCATGCTGGCCAACACACAAAGTAATTTACCGCAACAACTCAGTAATCCAGATGAGCTCCAGCAGAGTAAAACATGGTTACAACTGCCACACAACAAAGTCTATGCTTACACAGGACTTTAACAATTTGCGCACACGTCCAACACTTAGACTAATCAACAACTGACTTAAGTACCACGCACTCCAGCCAACAGACATCAGCTACACAAGGATCCCTCCTTTCTCACACCACTTAGGGCATTTGCAGTCACCCGCGAATACCAAGCAACTTGTTTTACAATTTTCAAGTGACTCAAATGTTTACAAACACAACCAGCCAATACATCATGAATACCTGTGTGTACCCATACTTCACCAAGCTCTGAATTCATTAACTATTTTACACAACAGTGACCTTGGCATACACCAGTGACCTTTGCATACAACAGTGACGTTACTTTCTTCTTCTTCTTCGCTTAGCTGCAATATTTGTGCCTTTTGGCCAACACATCTAACTTTATCATGGCTTTGTTCACCGGGTTAGTCTTCCTGGATAATTCTGTGGAATATGAAGTAACCTTATTTGTGCGGTGTGTTCTTTGTCCCTTAATCTACAGAACCCATGTAGGGCAGCTGCGTGTAGACTGGTCAGTCCTAATGGACAGCAAGGAGGCTTCCATTTAGAGTCGACAAATGATCCTCTGGTCCTAGGCTCACCAAAGGAATCGTCCTGCCCACGACTGCTTAACCTCGCATATGTTGAGCTTCCCACAGACTGTACTCTCCAAAGAGAGCAGACAGCAGGTACGGGACTTTAATGGCTGCAGAAATGGGCACAATCTCCTTCAGCATGTCAGACACCTTTAGCTTTGTTGCAGTGGAACTGTGTGCGACAAAGTAGGAAAAGCATGCATGGTAAACTTAAAGTGGGGGAGGCCAGGCCAATGCTAGCGGTATTTAACAAGCAAACCAAATGACAAGAACATTCACGCAAGACAACTAACACATTACCTACCTTGTTCTGTTCCCTGTCATGATTCTGGGGTTCATTCTTTGGCGGTGATGCAGTGTAGACAGAGTTGTGGAACACAGCAGGCTGTCTGTTCGACTGCTGGGTCTCAATGGCAGATGGCACCTTGGTGGTGCCAGCAGAAGGGGATGACATGATGTTGGAGACCAGGGAACTGTTGTCACTGCTAGCCTTGCTCATGTGGGCTTGCGTGAAGTGGCTTGTTATCACAGATGAGGAGCTGAAATGTGACAAGGCCATTTAAAAAAAATATTTTCAAACAATGCCTATGAAAGCATAATAAACATTACATGGGCAATCTAATTTTATTCTGAATCTCCTGAAGAGAAGGGAAAATATATATATATAAAGTATACCAAGTTATTTTATATTTTACCACCCCTGACATGTAAAGTTTCTTTTAAACATTTTTTTTTTCAAGACCAAAAAAAAAAAAAAGACCTATACTGGTTCCAGCAAGATTTATTTGCAAACAATTATTGCTCTTCTTCATAAAAGTCCCATGTCGTGTAAGGCTGCTAGGCATGTGTCCACAACCTTCCGTCTTGTGTACTTTCTCTTCGTGAGTCAGTTCCTTTCAATACATCTTCGTTACTCTTTTTATCTGCCAGGGTATTCTTATTCGCCCATAAAACCACATCTCCGCAGCTTCCAAATAAATTTTCACAAATCTGCCAATTGTCCATGATTCACTTCTGTATATCAAGATAGGGTAGGATTTATATAGCTTTAAGAATTCTTTCTCATCTTAAATGACAGAAAGACTGCATTGAATATTTGGTGAAAATGCTGGCTTTGCTTGAGCTATTCAACATTTAATTTCTTATCCATCTTTCATATGATGTTATCAGGGCACCCAAGTACTTATTATTGCTATTGCAGCCATCTTTATGATGATTATGAACACATTTTTTAAACGTTAATGCTTAATCCAATTTGATAGACAGCTAATAAGTATATGAAATCATCAACCCTGACATGCCAGGGCAAATACAAAGACAAAGAAATATTTTTGCCAGGGCAAATACAAAGAAAACAATGACATACCCATTTGTAGTGGTGGAATATGTACTTGTTTCAGTCACACTTTCATCAGCAACACCAAATCCAAAGGAGGTGCCAGAGTCCGTGCCAAAATCAATTCCAAACTGCAGATCCAGCTTATTGTTGGCAATATGACCTGGCATCTCAACAGCTGATGCTGGAATCTGTGCACACAAAATAATCAGAGAACTAACACTACTTTCATCAAGACACCCGACAACTACAAACAAACTAAAGTATTATATCCAGACTTGAAAAATAAGAGAAATGTATGGGCAACAACTGGCCTCAACAGTTATAAGACATATATTCTGAGAATAGACAAAGAGAATAAAAAAAAAAACAGGCACTGAACAGAAAGACTGAGGAAGTGAGGACATCCAAGAGAGACTAAGGTGATGCTAATGAGAGAAGCCAAAGGCACTGGCCTGAACAGGATAGAAAGGAATAGACAACGGCAAGCCCTACATGACATACAATGAATAAATAAATGAATGAAAGCAAGTTATTAAAGGAGATTTATAAACATGTTTAAATACAACAGAAATGTATACGATTACGATTCAAGAAACTTTGACGATCTAACATGAGATTATAAACTTTGCACTGTCTTCCACTTAATTACAATGAAAACTATTTGAAGAAATTAACAGAAGCAGTATGCAGAAAGATTTTGAAGAAAGCATATTGGGCAGTTAGGAAATACATTAAATAAGCAGCTGCCGTGGATCATTGCCAAAAGCACTGTATTAATCTTTCTTCCTGGCATTCACGACTGTAAACTCCAGAGGAAAGTTCTGGCTGTTTGTCTACTTCTGCAATTTGGCCTTGTTCAAGAACTTCACAGTTGCATGCACATCCATTTTACACATTTGGCTTATTTTATTTGACTGTTGGTTCCTTGCCCTTCCTTAATTAGTCAACACTTAGGACATGCTTGTTAGGGACGCACCGGGTCTATTCTTGTTTTCCCCACAATGGGATCCAGGAACCTAAACGGGGAGAAATAAAAGTGCATACCTTTGATGGTGGTGGCAGTTTTGATTTTTGAGGTTTTGGTCGCTGCAGGCTATTAGTCATGCTGCCTGGAACAGGCATGCCTTGTTGCTGCTGCTGTTGTTGCATCACAGAGGAAATCCTGGACTGAGACTGTGGATTCTGCTCACCGGTTTGCTGTTGTCCACCAATACTGCCCAACTGATTCTGCTGAGTGGGAATGCCCATTTGGGACAACTGTGTCATGGTTTGTGAGATGGATGACTGAGATGCTTGTTGGGGCAAAGATGACAATACTCCAACTTGGACCTGCTCTGAATTTTGAGCAAGAGATGAAAGACCCAAAGCACTTGTAACTGACTGCTGGGACATTGACAGTGAGCTGTATGACTGAGGAGGCCTTGAAGAGGTACCAATCTGAAATGTAACAGTTTTAAGTTTTTTTGTTAAATGTGTATGTTTTGTTGTACTGACAACACCCACATGACAATTTAATGCGGACAGCAAACGTTGGGTTCTTCTGCTTATCAGCACATTTTGTGTCACGATTTTTAAAAGTTTACAGGTAAAAATACATTATCCCAAAAGGTGATCAGGGTTCATAGCCAAATTTACAAATCAATTCCAAGGCGAGGTCTCCTTAGTTTTTTTCAAGGTTGTCTCTGTAATACTGAAACAAGATTGTTGCCTTGTTCAAGGGTGCACCCAGTACACAATGTACTTCATTCGTGCCACAGTGTTGGTATACCAGCACATAAATCCTCATCATCATGTAGCAGGTCCTTTGCCCTGAAAGAAACTTGGTCTCTCGCCAGCTCTACCGTCTTAAGGAGTCACTTATATCCTGTGCCCATCTTTGTGTTGGTCGGCCCCTGCGCTTAATATAGTGTTTGTAAATATTTGAGAGAGGAGAGGGTAAGAAAGTCTAGAGAAAATGAGAAGACAGGATGGAAAGGAGACAAAGAAGAGATGGGACAGGAGGAAGAGCAAGAGAGAACAAAGTAAGGACAGGAAGAGAGGAAGGATGGAGAAAAAAAAAGGAGAAGAGTGGAAGATCAAAGGAAAGAGAAGGGGTGAGAGAAGAGTGGTAAGACTTGGTGGGGGGGGGGGGGTGGTCCCAATGTGAATGTGGCCATGGCCTATAAACAGTGCTAACCCCTACCTGACCCATGCTTGTCTAATCTGCATGTGACAACAATAGTTACATTTTTTACACTCAAGGATGGTGACCTGGGAGCCAAGGTCATTTTATGAAGAGTAAAAAGTCGCGGGAGGGGGAGGGCGGAAAAGGGGGGGGGGAATCCCAAATCATCACTTGTGGAAAACAGAGCAGGATAAAAAAAATAGGTGGGGCACCAGTGGATTTCGTTTTATTTCTGATTTTCCAATTACAGAAAGGAGAAGGGAGAGGAGTGGTGGAAGGTGGTGTAGAAGGCTGAGATGGTAAGAGTGAGACAGAGGAGGTGAGAAAGGTGAGAGAAAGAGAATAAAGTTTAAGAAAATACAGTTGGGACTGAGACAGGGATAGAAAGAAGAAAGAAAGAAATAAGATGAGATACAGAGGGAAGAAGGTACCAGGAAGGGGTGCACCCCCCTCCCAGGTGTCATCAATGTGGGTGACGGCAAATGTATTTTTTAAAGTACACATATATTTAATATATGTGTAAGGGGGGGGGGGGAATTTGGTGGACATGAAATGTTCTGCACTAGGCAACGCATAACTTTCTACGCTATAATGAGAAAGAGAGGAAGGCAATGAGACAGGCAGAGAGTAGGACAAAATAGGAGGGGGCAGGTAGGGAGAGGGACAGAGATTAAGGCCCGCTAAGAAAACAAACACATCAAAAAAAAATATCCATTATGTTCATGCTAAACACCCCCCCCCCCCCCCTAAAACGACTTCCTGTGTACTTGACAGTTACTAGGAAAAGAGTTATGGAGCAGCACATTTACTAAACATTTAAACAAGAAATAAAATAGGAAAGTGGGAAAGGGGGGGGGGAGGATATGAGAGAGTAAAAGGAAAGACAGAGAGAAAGAGAAGAAGATGATCAGATGGGAGGGTGAGAGACAATGCAGGAGGCAGGAAGGAGGGAGCAAGAGGTAGAAGAGAGGGGAGAGAGAGAAAGAGAGAGGGGTGAGACAACAGAGGAGAAAATTTCAATATTGATTGCCAAACATTGTAAAGATAGACCAGGCCAAAAATAGAATTGGGAAATCTAGCTGACGTCATTTTGCTTAGCCCCACTACAGCCGATTCTATTTATAAATACAGAAGGACCGAGCCCCACCATCTCCAAATGTAATTAATCCTTTCTAGAAACCACGGCCATAAAGCTTTTTATAGCATTAATTCTGCCGGATTTGCTAAAAAAAAAAAAAAAAGGCGCACATACACACAAGGCAGCAGCTGCTCCTTCCCGCCCCATGCCAAGCCGCGCTGTCTGCATGTATTCATGGGCTGCAACACAGCTCGCCCTTCCCTGGCCTTTACCAAGCCATTTCGGCTGAAAATAGCCAATAATCAGCATCCCTCACAAGTGAAATGACTTATGGAAAGTAGTCAAAACTAGCCGAATGGCCCCAAAAAAAAGCCAAATGGCCCCAAAAAATTGCTGAAGATCACAGGATTTCCGATCATCTCATTGCGACGGTCAAAATTCACGGCTTCTCAAGGTCGTAATGTCTTTTTTAAGCTAAAAATCACTGTTCAAGGTCAAAGAAAAAAATCACGGTAATTTCACTACGAACCCTGTGTGATGCCAACTTTTTTCTTCTAGTTTCAGTAGGCAAGATTGAAAATAGTGCCCTCTACCTTTGTAGGTACCAAAGAACACATCATGCACTGATTTATTATATTTACTGTTTTCTGGCACAGAAACAATTTTTTAAAGTTTACAGGTAAAAATACCTTGTCCCAAATGGTGATGCCATAGTATCAGTAGGCACAATTAAAAATACAGTGTTCACTACCTCCATAGGTACCAAGAAACACATTATGCACAAATTTATTAAATGAACTGTTTTTTGGTATTGAAACAGTTTATAAGAAATGAACAAAAAAAAACATTTGCTGAAACTTCAATTTTGATCAAGCTAAGCTAAGAACTAACATCACAGCACTCGTAGCATTCCCATTCATGCTCTGTCCTTTCCAGCGTGGCATTCTGATTTTTTTGACAAGCCTCCTAGCTGGTTGCCTCTGACTTCAGCACCTAAGCATTCTGGTAAGTTAGACTGATGCACTGGCATATGTGACCGAACTGTCCACCCTGTCATGTGTATGTCTATAGACAGGATTGCTGCAACACCATTATGACGCACCCAGTGCAGTCCGACGACCGTGACAATGAAATTACATCAAAATGAAGGCAATCAGAAGCACAGTCCTAATGCAGTTCAGAAATACTTCTACAATAATTATCTCATCAAAATACAGGTTACTTTCATGGTAGATAGATAAGATTTTTGTAAACTATTTGAGAAGCGAAAATTCCAGCCACCATTCTGCTGCCTCCGGTGCGCAATAATAATAATTAATGTTAGGATGGATGCAGCAGTGGAAATAAGTTTTTTAACGCTCATGTACATAGATAAGGCTTTACTGGTGAGATTCGAGAAACTGGCAACATGCCAAATTCGAAGCCTGAGACACAGCGCTAAGTCATCAACTGCGCTAATTATGGAAAGACCTGGTCTAGGTGGCCCCTATCACTCCAGCTCAGGGCAAGCTCTAATACCGTGTTAAAAATATTTTTTTACATAAAACTGCGATAAGACACCAAACATGCATAAAACGGGACACGAAAACAATGGCATCCAAAAGGAAATTTTAAAAAAAAGGCTCATAGTGTGCTCGCTCCTACGAGGAGTTGCTATCACATGCTATCAATATACAGCAACGGTGTAGACCAAGATGAGGTAGAAGTCAAGAGATTAAAACTTTATTATCCAGAGCGAAGCACTGCAAATTAAATCTATTATATAAATATACATATATTTCTGGTTCTGCCCCAAACCCCTTCCTCTTTTGATGGAGCTCTGCAGTCTAAATAGGGAACTGATTTTGATTATTCCTAAAACATAAATTAAATGCAGTATTCTCATGGCTTTTTTGCACAAAGAAAAAACACTCACGCCAATGGTGTTCTTGATGGACTCTGTAGCTGCCTGCTTATACTGATTTATGTAAGCATCTCCTGTTGGCTTGCTGTAGTCTGGTGCCTTGGAAAATTTCGCTGACTCTATGAACAAACTTCCTACATCAACCCTGAAACAAACAGAAGACGTCTTACTTCTTACAATGTCTTACATCTGATGAATATCACTAAGTCATATAATTTGTCAAATATTTATTTAGCTGCACAATTAGCGGCCATAATATCTTAAGGTGAATACAGGACATCCCATTAATATTTTGATCTGAACATTTCAAGAAAGGCAGTTAACCACACAACCCCAAGAAAGGCAGTTAACCATTGTCGTGGAATGATAAGCCATTACGCATCACCCTAACAGAGTTGAGAACTGTCTTACCTGTGATCGAACAACATTCAAACTTGGACTCGTCCGGAAAGGTATATAGTCCCTTATATCGATATATGCCTTTATTGGACATAATTATAATATCTACATCTTCTAGTTGCTTTGACTTAGCGTCATTTTCAAATTTGCAACTATTGGATAAATATTACGGGAGTTATTTGAGGTTTCTTGGAAACCAATTTACACCTTGCCCCTGTATACAAGGAACTACTTCTTACCAACGCCTGGATTGAAATTTAGCGGTATTATTCTGCCGGCTTTCCTGGAACTCATACGTGTCAATTGACGCCAGTATATTTCATGTTAAAAAGGCGGTCTGTAGCGCCTAGGACTTTTCCTATGCTTGGGTAAGTTAATTATAGTTTACGAGTACCTAAAATGATTGTTAAAGTGGTCACTGCTGTAGAGAGATAAGTATCGGCTGTGGGATCACACATAGTTCGACCGTTCTTGATCGCTAGAGAAGCGGATTCGAACTTAGACCTTCCTCTGTACAGACTAAATAGCCTATGCCCTAAATAACCCACACATACTAGTAAAACTAATAACCTTACAAGTGTGTACTAATTAAACTAACAATAGAAGTTTGTGCATACAAATGGGGAAAGAGAATTTAGGTCTGGACTTGGTCGACCAGTGCGTGAGTATGTTTGACCCAGATAAATGAATGTGTGGGACTGGCTTGAGAGTCGTAGGGAATGGAGGTACTGACTGTAAATATTGGTGTCTTTGTGCAGATGGGAGGGAGATTGATATATGTGTTAGAGTGTCTATCTATCTCCACTATATATCTGACTTTCCATCTCTTGCACTAAACAGACAGATGAATGATAGGAGACAGTGTCTCCTGGTCTTGAGAGTGCGCTCTGAGGAATGAAACAGGGGTGCAGAGGTGGAGTAGGCTGATGTAGGATGGTGACTGATACTTATTCTGTCTTTCCTGTCAAGATGTTACCCTCTTGGTGATGACTAATTCTGAGTTCTTTCTTAACAGGAGGAAATCTTTGTGAAGAGCTGGCAGAAGAATCACAGTCCAACCAACCAACCATCAACCTATTACCTACCAATTATCACCCAACTACCACTTGTGAAGACTACCATCCCCAAGATGGGGTGCCATATACCCCAAACATCCTACAGTGCCAGAGCATGTCTCAGGGACAGTGCTGCGTATGATGAGTGGGAGAGATTTGCTGTGTGCCTATCCAGTTGCTGTGTCATTTATGGTGAGGTACCTCTCCGTCATCTGATCCAGTTGAGGCAGAGTTACCAAAGACAGTCGAATCATCAGGAACTGAGGGGAGCATCAACGATAGAAAGAGGATAAGTGCCAGTTTGATGCCATGTTTTGCTATATTCCTCACAGCTCCCATGTTTCCCGAGGATGAAGTTGTGTCATCTCCAGACATTCTGACTAATTGTTTTGTGATCTGGACTTTGTATTCTGGAATCGAGCTATTGAGATCTGGCATCTACTTCACTATTATATATATGTCTATGTTGTATTGATTACATGCATTCATTTTCATGGCTGACTTAGGTGTCTCTATTTCACCTTTTTAAGTGTTTAGCATTTGTGTGGGTATGAATCTTAAATATATGTGTTAACATGGTTATGATAATGAATTATCATAACCTGGGGGTTTTCTTTAGTTAAGTAGTGGGGGTGTCCAGCCAAGTGTGCCTAGGAATATTGTATTCATATAAAGATATATTTTGTAGTGCCAATACTTGAGTTGCCCTACTCCAGAAATAAGTTGAGCGTATATTGGCCACGGGGAATCCCTTAGACCAATACGAGCCAAACGACTCAACGTAATTATTTCTGAGTGCTGTTGGTTCTGAAGGAGAAATCCTTATATCAGGCACGTAACAGGAGTGATATGTGACAACCACACAACCCCCCTTCCCCCCTCCTCACATTTCTTCTCAAAATTCACTAATGTATTATTATAAGTAACTAAGGAAGAAGAGGATATACAGGCCTATTAATTGTGTGAGCCATAATAATTTATTTCTATTTAAACATTTTTCTCTAGTCAGATTGCATGGCTTGTTTTTTTGTGTGGTTTTTTCTTTAGTCTCTCTCTCTCTCTCTCTCTCTCTATCTTTATATATATATATATATATATATATATATATATATATATATATATATATATATATATATATATATATATATATATATATATATATATAGCCTTTCAGTTTTAAAATGTGCATATTTTCCAGTTTAAGGTTTTTAATTTCTGTTAGTGTATGTTCTATTATCGAGCTTATTTCTAGATTTAAAAAATAAATAAAACAGGACAATTGACACAGCCAGAACACAGAAATAAATGGTAATGCCCAGGTAAATATGGGACACATGGTCTCCCTATGCATAATTATGTATCCTTTTAAAACTGAATATTCAATAGGTGGTTTTTCTGGCTACCTTTATTTCGCAAAGGTATCTTGGTACGTATTCAGGCAGGATATGTCTCACGGATTTACTAATCTCTTTGTTAGCTGTTCAATGTAAGAAGTATATTTTGCTACAACATTTTGCAATGCAGTAAGTACTCATCTGTGCATTCACAGAGCAAAGGATTATACTTGTGTATGTGTGCATGCAGTCATAAAATAAGTAAATTACCTCTGGCCCCTTGAGCTTGACGTTTCAGTAATTACAGGTTCTGGTTCAGGTACTTTCATCTGAGATGGAGTAAACACTTTTGTTTCTTCCAGCTAAAAACACAAATAAACAAAGGCGCACCTATGACCGCAATTGTAGATGACTATTATATATCAAAACAAGATCAGATTAACCAAGCACACTGCCAAATGAAGGTTTTCTTTTTTCTTCAGGAAAAGCAGAATATGGCAATCTACTGCCTTTCATTGCAGTACACCAAATGTTTTCATATAGTTACGAGTTAAGCTACTGTTACGGCACTCAGAACATGTCCATAAGTGCTGAAATTTACCCTTCAACATGTATATCAGCGACCAATGAGTTAACAGTTCTATGCTTCTTCGCCTGTATGAAATGTCATCACATGACACTGATTTAACTCTAACAGGGGACCAGACACACATGCAAAAACTCTTGTAACACAGCTCAAAACTCCCATTCCTGCCATCTTGTTTATTGCAGGAACCATGTGTGTTGCTCATTTCAGTGACCTTTCTTCCAATAAATTCATTTCCAAATAATACAGCAGAAGAATAAGTAGTCTTGCAACTCACCATGTTTTCTGCTGTAACCACCATTTTACGTATTTGATCTTTATTTCTGTTTAGGTTAAATTTGGCTTAACGAACTGAAACATTTTCTGTTGCACAAAATATTAATTATTCAGGCTTAACCTCTCTCTGCACTGTCACCAGAAAAATACACTGCATGGATATAAATACAGTACGAGACAACGCGGCACCCTACCCCTTTCCAATGTTAAAGCTAAAGATACATCCAAGAGAAATAGTATGTGAAGGAAAGAGAAAGGATAACATTTCTCCACCCAATAATAGGTTAGTTGCGTATCCTTTTCAGGACGTTGCAGAACAAACTCCAACAGCCCCTGGCCATTGTGTCGTTTTCCTAGGCAAATTTACGTTCAGTAGTTTGCCATTGCTTTCTGGACGATCGACGCATGGCCCGCACCTGGGATCGAACCCGGCATCACGAAGCGTTCGCATCGACTTAGCCACAGGATCGACACTCAATAATAAGGTAACTTAAAAAAATGTATACTGCTTCATTTCCCAGTTCTAGTATCTGTTCTAGAATTCCTAGTTTACAACACTGACCACACGCCCCCAGACAGCCACAATTATTTTAATTTTTAGCATTTAGGAAGTGAACTCTATTATTTATATGGCGCAAAGCAAGCCTAATGTTTAAAAGAATAAGATGGACACAAAATCTAATGTACACACACTAAATCAGACTTACACTGCCTGTCCACTGATCATCTTCATTCACCCAAGTATCCGCCCAATTATCCCAGTCTGCAGAAAGATTACATTGCAAAATAGATCAGTAATATCACTTACATTGTTACCCAACAAGAACACCATAATTAAACACAGTACTGCAGGTTTGCCGTGTTTATACAATTATTACAATTAACAATTACTTTTAGATTTGTGTGTGTGTAGATACTGCACAAGATTTAATGTCACAACTAAGCTAGATTTGTGTTCAGACAAAATGTGGAGATGAAAGAATACACGTCAACCATGTGGTGGGTGGGTGATGTTCCAAGAAATGAGTTGCTGACGCACTCAACATGAGTAAACCAGGCTAATCACGCAACTGCCCATTTTCTTCCGTCATTTTTCCATTCTGTAAAATTGTGGGCCCTATCTCGATCACCAAAGTTAACACGGTTCTGTTATGACCAAGTGCCAGATGGGGAAAGTGATCAGATTAAGAAATAAATGAAAATGGCAATACTGAGATATGGAAGCCTCCCAGTGAAAGCAATAGAAAGTAAAATCCAAGGGGGAAAAGAGAAGAGTTATGCCCCCCCCCCCCCCCAACAAACAAAAAAAAAAAAAAAACTAATCAGACAAGGACATTTGAGTCCATAATAATAATGATTTTAAAAATTCTACGCTCTAAGGAATTGCTGAGAATGGGATAAACCGGAGTCACTTGGTCATAATGATTCGGCATTAGTCTCAAAAATGACTAAGTTGATTTTTTTATAGTGTCTGTGATTATTAGAATTCTCACCTGTGTCTTTATTTGTGTTAGTCTCTGCAGTTTCATTGGTCCATGTATCAATCTCTGGTCCATCCATTGGCTGAGAATTATTCATTTTCTCAAACCTCTGGCCACGGTTGTAGCTTCTGTTAAGTAATGAAAATTATTAACAAGTGAAATTACAGATTTACTGCACTGCTGGTATTCACTACATTCACACTAACAGCTACAAACCTAAACAGTAAAACATAAATTTTTAAGTACTTCTAGCTCATGATAGGTTCTAAAGTGCCAACACCAACATTACATTTTTTAAAGGTTTCTCAGAACAGTTTTTGATGCCTAACTCGTTGCCTCATTAATATACTAGCTAGAGAAATTTTTGCTGGTAATACTAATGCTTCGATGCCCATTCACTTGATCTAACAAATGTTTAAAGCCGAACTACTCATACTAGTAACAACAACAGAAAATAGGATTGTATCATAAAATATATAAAACATAAATGACAATATATACTGTTGCCCTGCTACATGGATAAATTAGTACCAGTTTATTAATCTCCCTTAATGCAGCCTCTGGCTAAGTGTTTGGTGGAAATCATTGTGTAATCCAATTCTCTATGTATCAGGGTTCAATTTCACAAAAAAGACAGTGGTACGAGAGTCAGCGAAAGATTGGCTCACCACAACACAATTTTCCTAAAGATTGCAGTGGATAAATTGCAGCAAACGTACATTACTGATTTTACCCTTTCCCTCACCTTTACATACGCATACAAAATCTGTTAATTCTAGGCAAACAATAATATAAAAATTACCTGCTGTCTCTGTCTCCACTGTTATTAAATCTTCCACGTCCTCCACCTGGTCCACCAGATCTCCTTCCACCAAAACCTAAAAACAGGAGTAGGTACACATTAAGCACAAATACTTTGTGTTTACCTGCTAGATAATCAAAACTGAGACTCTGACCTTGATCCAGAATGAGTTTTGGGTGCACATCTGTTTTACAGATATGATGTATTTGTACAAAGACCTTTGCTTCCTTGCTTCTTGGGCAGATGATCTCCGACTTCAAAGAAAACACTCATAAGTTGATTTTTATAGTACAATTGTTAGGATGTAGTGGATATGTCTCCACCCCACCCCCACATGGATTACTCAGTTGTCAATTTTGCGACATGTAAGAATAGGACGCTAAAAATTATATTCTGCATGTATTTTGAACATTAGGAAATTCTATATCTTGTCTGTAAGCTAAACAAAATGTGAAAGAAATGGGCGTGAAAAGGTGGAAGTACAAAGAAGCATGAACAATGCAGAAACATTAAAGCAAAAATTCAGAAAGAAAACAGACTGAATATAATTCTATATATTATAAAGGAAAGATAAGGTATATTGGTTATAAACACACGGTACAAACCAACTTTAAAATCTAACTTACACTACAAGGCTGAAAAATATACCGGACTTGCTAATCATGTGAAGAACTCGTGAGTAAAGTCTATAAGCAGACTTGTATTTAAAAATATCATTTACAGAAAAAAACATTTACAGGCCTCAGAAATGATATATCTGAGAAAGGTGGTCAAAGTGACAAGATGGTACAAAGTTCAAAATCAGACAATATGTCATGATCTTGAAAACCAGGCCTTACAAAATCCAGTGGATCAGTGAGTTAACGGTGTACTCGATGTATGCAAAATGGGAGAGAATCATTCACCACAGCAGGAAGGAGGGGGAAAAAAACCAGGCAACCAGACCATCATCTGGACAACCCAAAAGTGGCTAACAGAAATTAAATGGAACAAAGCCAAAAAGAAAAGTGCTGGCGATCTCTCTGGCAAACTTCTACACCTGAAGGTAGAAGAGGAGCAACTAAGTAACTCACAGAAGTAAGAAATAACTTACCACCCCGCCCACGTGATCGACCTCTGTCTCCTCCACTGCGATCACGCTTTTCTTCTCCCCTGTCATTATTCCATTCTTCAACATTACGGTCCTTGTTGTCCCGATCACCAAAGTTACCACGGTCCCTACCACGCCCACGTGCCAGGCGAGGTGGGGGGCCACCATTCCGTCGTCCTCTGCGAGGAGGTAAATCGTGATGATCTGAACCACCTTCCTTGTCCTCTCTGTCGCCTCTATCCTTGTTTCGTCCCTCAAAGTTTTCATCTCCAACATGGTTGGAACCCTCTTTCTGTGGGGCTGAAGATGGAACTTTCTTTTTGCGTTTGCCTGGTTGCTCACGCCATTCTCCTTGCTAGTTTGAGAAAAGACAAAAGCAGACATTTGTCAAATAATTTACAAAAAAATCAAGGGATAATCCTATTATTTTAAAATATAAAAGATCAGCCATATCTATAATCAAGGGTGTGCCCAAATTGTCACCTTTTAAAATATTTGTAGTCGGGCACCAATCTCTTCCATGGTGCAACTCTCAAGCTGTAAAATGTTCTTTTTCTAATAATCCACCTCTCACGAAAATCCTATTGTATTTGTGTGCGTGTGTGTGTGTGCTGTGTGATTTCACTAGGCAATTAAGTAGTTTGCTGTTACTCTCAATATCACTGTCCCTATAACTGCTTGCCAACAAAGTGGCTGTGTGTCCAAATCCCCAATAATGACCCTATATATTGGTGACCTGTCTAAATGCACACATTTACAAATAGTCTGATAACATAGCTGGGGACTATATTTCAGGGAAACCTGATATAAAACATTCAAGTAATGGTAAAACTGACACAATAGAGTAAGACTAATTATGTAGAAGTAAACAGGAAAAGTATTGTGTACCTGCTCATTGCCACCTTCCAACAGCATGATGACAGCAACATTTGCATCATTTTCTGCATCATGGAGTGCAGTCCTAACAGCGTCTTCACTCTTATCAGTCATTTCCATCAGCTGCAAAGAAATAAATAACATTCAGAGGTCAAGGCATACTTAAACACAACGTTCACAAACATACCAACTCAGTACCAGATTGGGTGCATATGTGCACAATGAAAGCAGTCAGAACTATCAGTCTGAAACTTTTATTAGTTCTAAAGCAGCCAGTAAATTTTCACATGTGAAAGTATGCCATACAGTAAAGAAATTAATGATAAATGTTAACATCAAGATCATAAAAACAGACTAAATTTCTAAACGCAAGGAAATGAAATGCTGGAGATGTTATCTGGTGAATAAGAATCAGAGGGCCTTCAAGTGCCTTTTTGGATTGCCCCTGCTCACAATGAGTTGATAGCCAGCATGGAAGTTTACTAACTGCATTTGATTTTATTTGCCAGGAAGTGGCAGTGTTGCAAAAGACAAGGTGTCATATGGCAGTCAAGAGTAGTTTTAATTGTGAGCAACTACAATTAGGTTAACATTGTCAAACTGAGAAACCGTTTTAAGTTATACTTATATCACAGCTTTTGTGCTGGCTGCAACTGCAGTCTGTGGACTATTTACATACACACAAATGGAATTTTTTTTTTTTTTAACCCTACTTTTCTGCTCAGTGGTATAGGATTCTGACTGCCTGGATTGTTACAAAAGCTGACAAGAACTAAAAATTTCTGCTGCTGCTTCTCTGTGTGTGTGTATGGAAGTGTGTGTGTGTGCATGTATATCCATAAATTTATGTGTTTTCTGTTTGTGCATTTGTCTATGTATGTGTTTTATGTTTGCATATGTATGTAGATGTATGTATCTATTACGTATGTCTGTATATGAGTGTGCATGTATGAGAACGGAGTATGTACTTGTGTGTGTGTACGATTGTGTACACATGTGTGTATGCATTATTCTATAATTTAAATTTCTTTATTATATCCATAACGTGCATTATTGATAACAGGCATTGGTACTCTGAAAAATGAGTGCTTAGAAGGGCCAAATGTCAGATGGGCCTGCGTGCCCAATTTTTAACCCTTAGAAAATAAAGTTTGTTAGTTCGTCTGTTCTCTTCATCTTATGGTAGAGTTCCAGAGAAATAGAAGATGCCTATTTTAAACAATATTCTGAAGGAAAAGGTCATTTTTTAAGTTTTTTGTTGGGCGAAATAGTTAACCATAGGCCGGATACATTTTAAAGGGGTATATATTGTAACACTAAACATTGCAAATTATTCTAGGACTGTAAGTGCGTGATTGCCGACCCAAAAAAAAAAATTTCAGTGATTTAACTGCCAAAATCTTAGTCATGGTATCAACAAACATTAAAATTATGTGACTGACCAGCTAGTACCCCACTTGCTGATCTAGTGGTCATGTTTATGATGTGGCTTTGAGAACTTTTAAAGGATTAATATGTGCTAAGATATAAACAAAGTTTTGGAGAGCAAATTTCACATCCGCTGCTGCTTTCATACTCTAATTTCATATCTGCTGCTGCAGCTTTCGTAGTCCAATTCTATATCTGCTGCTTACATACTCTAGTTTCAAATCTGCTGCTTTCGTACTCTAATTTCACATCTGCTGCTTTCGTACTCCATTTTCCTATATGCTGCGGCTTTTATACTCCAATTATATATCTGCTGCTGCTTTCGCGCTTCAAGTTCATATCTACTGCTTTCGTACTCTTAATCTTATATATATATATATATATATATATATATATATATATATATATATATATATATATATATATATATATATATATATATATATATATATATATATATATATATATATATATATATATATATATATATATATATATATATATTTTTTTTTTTATTGATAGTAATGCTTGAAATAGTGTATATTTTTGTATTGGATAAAACAAGTAGACTTTTGCATAATAAAAAAATGTAATGTCTTCTGAAAATAAACCCTCAGGCATTTTTAGAAGCAAACTTAGCACAAGATAGGGACTAATATTCTATGACACACAATAAGTTCATCCACTTCTGCTTCAGTCTTGTTATAGAACGTGAGTGTTGTGTGCACATACGTTTTACAGATCTGGCTTATTTGTATGCAGAAGACTGCTGGTTTTCTTTTTGACTTCCAGGCAGATGCACTTTGACTTCAAAGCACTCTTATGACATGCTTGTCAGGGAGGCGGTGGGTCTGTTCTTGTTTGACCATAATGGGATCCTGGAACCCATAAGAGGAAATGTTGCATTCCCTGTCGTTTTTCATTTTATTATCAGCACAATTCTACTGCGCCCCCCCCCCCCCCCCCCCATCAACTTCTGAAAAGATTACCTGCTGGGGATAGGGGAAAGAACCATTTCACGGGGGAAAGGGGTGGGGGAGAGAACCATTCCATAGTTTGTAAATTCGATATAAGGTGGCAAATCCGTTAAATTGATATGTTCTGGTCATAAGCTAAGATTCATTCCATAGCTGCGGACGAACAACCAGAACTGTCCACCAGAGTTTAAAGCCAATGAATGCAAAGAAGAAGATGGACAGGTTTTAAAGAGGGTCAACTTCATAGTCCACTGACAATCCCCAGGGTTTGGCGTAAAAATGTCACTTGTGAACTAAAGACACAAGCTCATGACAGTGAGACAAATTGCGAGATAACAGACGAACAATGTCCAGATACCTCAAATAGCCATTTTGTAAGGACAGATCAGGGCATGTTATGGCCATCTTATGAGATGAAAGCCTCTAGGGAGGGCTTTAATAATGGATGACTGCTTAGCATAAATGAACAGCAGGTATACTTAAGCTAGGACAGACAGACAGATGAAAAACACATGCGCTACTTTGGCATGACCGATGACTGTGATTCTTGTGGCCTTTCTATAAAAACAAGATCAATACTGATGAAGGAGAAAAAGGAGATGAGAAACATTTTCCTCATTCACAAGCAGTAGACTGTTTTCCCTTTATTAGATAAGTGTCACTGACACCCTAAAACCGGGTAAAGAAAGAAACAAATGGTGGGAAACTACATACAGGTATAGACAGGTTTTAACCAGCATGAATCCATATCCTGGTGAACCACCTCAGATAAAGATGTACCTCTGCATTCTAATACCTACGACTTCGAAAAGACACCTGGACCCAAGAGCAAAATGTTCAGAGCAAGCTATGGGGAACCATAAAGGACCTGCTGCTAACATGCGAGTTCACAGAGGCGAATCACCTGATGGTGTGAATTGAGCATACAAAACCGAACGCAAAGAAAGAAGAAGCACCTTAATAAACATAAATTTTTAAAAAAAGATTTTTTTCCTTTTAGAAAGTATCAAAAGTTATAACAATCAATACACGTCAGTATTCCTTTTTGCAACATATGTTCTCTAATATTATTTTAAATAAATAATCTTACCTCCTTTACAGTTTCCGGATCAGCATCAGACTTGTTTGTATCCATAATCTGAGCCAGCCGGAGCTGTTCCTGTGTTGGCTGCATCTTATTTGCTGGCGTCTCAGTCTTTGCTGTATTCTGAGACTGCTGCTGTAAAGATGTGTTCCTTTCACTTTTGGTCATCTTGTCTTTTGTTCCACTCTGTCTGTTTGAGCCAGCACGCACGGTGCCAACCGATCCACTCATATTTTACAAGGTGATTATATGTACAAAATTATGTACAGGTTATCTGCCATACAAACAAAACACAAATCTTGTTATGACAAGATGCAAGAAGACAAAATAATAATAAATGACCAATAAACAGTCATAAATTTAATATCCTTAGTAAATGCAGTATATGTAGTACATGACCCAATGTTCAGATAGGTACATCGTTTTCCTCTCAGATCATTAAAAAAAGGGATTACAGGTTTGTTTACTCATTATGCCTTAATGTAGTCATTCGAGTATTTCTTTTTAATGGCTCATCTGTTATCTTTGTTTGACATCCTTGTCAAAACTAAATTTTTTCCCCCAACGATACAGCTGAATCAGCATTATCAAAATATTTGCATATTATCAATCCACAAGAAAGATTTTCTATACTTTATTCTTCTTCACTTCCTCTTTTGTGCTACAATTGTCAAGGAGGACATATGGCTCTGCTATTTGTTCTTCTGGTCGCTCAACCAGAGACGCATCATGCTGTTGTAGAGTTTCTCTGATGTTATCTTTCCATCTTGTTCTTTGTGCTATAAATCCTTTGTTTTGGGGGTGAATGCCTTGTATAGAATGGCATCACAAGGCATTCTCTGTAAGTGTGCAAACCATTTGATTGGATGTCTATGTAATTCAGAATTTTGTCTGTGCTGACTGTCTTATGATCTAATTTCTTGATTTTATCTCTTCTGGTCACTCCAGCAACGCTTCTCATTATCTTATTTCCATTATTACTCATTTTTCTCTATTCTATTCAACTCCTTTTATGTTATGACTTTTGTAATATTCCTATTCCACCTTTGTATTGTTCGATCCCTGCCTCTTATTCTAGGTTCTCTGCCTATTATTATTGCTCTTTTTTTAAAGATCTGATCAACTAATTTTCATTTGCTTTCTAATAAATGCCTCTTTTTTTAACAGAAGGAAACTTCTTATATACAGGTTTTTTTAACAGAAGGAAACTTCTTATATACAGGTTTTTTTAACAGAAGGAAACTTCTTATATACAGGTTTTTTTAACAGAAGGAAACTTCTTATATACAGGTTTTATTAACAGAATAACGACACGAAATAATATGAGAATGCAAGCCCAAATGTTTATTGACTTAAAATGACTTTACTGTGTCCATGTATTTCAATTCTGAAACTATAGCAATGCCGCTGCGTCAAAATTTTTTACAGGAAGTCTAATATTTAGAATGCAAACAGGAAACAAAAGTTCCTGAAAGCTGTAGTTTCTCACCTGAAAACAACAAACACATTTCTGAGAACTCCCAATGTATTGTACTTAACTGGAAACAAACACACTGGTAGCAAGAATGGTAATACAGATATATAATCAGAGTAGCTAAGAACATTATACTTGGAGGATAAAACTAAATGAATGCTAGATTTATAATCAGAGAAGCATAAATGAATAAAAGATCAACTAATGTAATAGGTATATGTCATGTACATGTTTGAACAATGTAAACTTTTAGCTATGTACAAAAAACAACAACTAATTTATTGACTGGTTTCCTTTACATATAACCAGATGACAATCACAACCCTCACACCCAAGTCTTGAAGAGTGAGAAGGATTTAAAGACAGCAGAGGTCATCATTTTGCATTAAACTGAAATTCACTCAACAAACAAATGTACAATTATTAACCATGAAACATGGTTCATTTAAACAAACAACTGCAGTAAGACCAAATACCATTAATACTAGAATGTTATGAAAATAAAACATGACACTAAATCACATACAATCATATTACTATTATTGAGTATTTGCAATGATGTCAGTCAGACTTTTGTCTTATACAAATATTTGATTAGTCAAAATAGAGACAGTTACTGAAATGATTTCAAGTTTTATTTATTATTTATTTCAATAATCTTAATAAATAAGTAAAATAAATTATATCAGTAAATTTTAATTAGGAGTGACAAAATCTTCTAATCAATTTATTTAAGTAATTTCACTACCTATTAAATTAAAACATTTTATTAGAATAGTCTGAATACCATTTTGAATGTCATTAATATAAAATGTCGTTACATAGTATGCTAAATATTGCGTTAACAAAGTAAGAAATAAAAAAACAAAGTGTCTTTTGTCATCTGAGAACTTTGAAAATATTGTGCTGTGTACAAGCTTGTCAGAAATCGTGTGCTTGCTGGAGGCGCGGTACCAACCTTTTTAGATCGCCTTCACTCCACTTCTCGCTGCTGCGCAACAATGCCAAAACTAAACTAAAACAATTCTTAATCAGCCAGCCAGTAACCCCAGCATTGAATCTGTCAAAAAGCAGCAAAAATTCTTTCATACGCACACCTAAAAAGATGTATTCGCTGCAAAAACTCAAATTTGGCATTTATCACGTCTACGACGAAAACGTCTATCAACAAAAACGTGACGCCATGCTGGAATTTTTATCAGTTCAAACAGGCGCCACAGTTGACTCATTCCGATTCCACACGTTTAAAATAGAAAGGCCGTAAGTAATACTTACAAGTGAACGCCGTGTGATACACATAGGTCAAATCCTGTAAATTAAAACACTGACTGTTGTATTAGGCAGGCAACGATTTCAAGAACAAAGAATATGTCGTCCAGAATTACCTACCTGAATTTGTTACAGAGACTATGTTGATCACGTGATATTGTTACACTCTTCTCGCGATACCGAGCTTTACGGGATTTTCATCATTTTTATTTTATAACGATATTTATATTTAATTATATTAAAATTACAACAATATATTTATATTTTTGAGTTATTTGGTGCTAAAATTAAAAAATAATAATAAAACTTGCTTTCAAATTTTCCATAAAATTCTTTGCGCTTTTGGGATGGAGAGTTTTAAGTAACCATAAAGGTACATTAAAATTTATGCACTTTAATAATGAAATGAAACAAAATTTATATGTGGGTGTGACATAAATGGAAATCCCAAAATTACTTGCTTCGCACCTATGATCTCATGTCGGGGAACATATATAAGTAGTTTATCTAGAGAGGAATGTACGTATTCGCTGGGAGATAAAAATAGTTCTCACAGTAATAATCCTGGCTGTCCTGGTTACTGCAGTCTGGAAACTAGGATTTTCGCCAATAATTTTAGCTTCGCCGTGTTTCAACATGTCAGTGTCGTAGGCGCCGGAACCTGGGAGCTCAGGTCCCTTGACCCCCTCCTCCCCCCCCCCCCCGAGGAACTGAGCGGCCCCCCCCCCTCACTTAAGCTCTTTGCTCAAAGTGCACTTTTTAAACACAATTCCTGCCACTTCAAGTGACTAAAAACTAAAACCAGCTTACTTTAATTATCAAATCAAGTCCGCCTCTAATCTTAGAATAACAGTAACCAACGCTTCGTGTGTGTGTGTGTGTTTAATATTGGAGAAATACCTGTTTTCCTCACTAGAAATTCAACAGAGGTTAAGGTCAGAAAATTGTCTGGGTTGATGGAGAAATAAAAAAAAAAAAAGGGGGGGGGGGGGGATTTAGGACTTTGTTCACATAGGAGCCAAATTAGGACGCGGCGGTTAAGCTCCCGTCCGCCAATTGTAGGAAGAATACGAGATCCCTGTAACCATGCAGACATTTTTTTTTTTTACTTATACATTTAATACTTTTCACTTACTTAAAAGATAACAGCTTATACATTGTGTTGTTTTTAAGTCTATGTTTGTATTTACTTGCCATTCAGCACAATAATAATAAAAATAATGTGCTAGAATGGGCCCCAAAAATGATATCTTTGAAATAATGCTAAATATGTAAACAAATACTTTTAAAGATAATTTCGGGACAAAATTCTGGGAGCGGAGAAATGGAGCTGAGCGATGATGAACAATAGTCTGTCAAAGTACTGCACTATGGACAAGACCCAAAGAGCGTTAGATTACCGCAGCCAGTTTTTTGTTCTGGCCGTGCGCACTGTACACAGTACTGACTACCGACACCCTTTTTTAAACATTATTTTTGCCCGGCTCTCTAGCGGAATTGGCTAAACCGGATTTCGCGGAGACCGGGTGACGTACTCCTTGTGGTCCGGGTTCAATCCCGGGGGTAGGCAGGAAAGCCACATTTTCTCCCAGATTTACGGTATTTACAATGGAATCAAGGCCGAAAGGTTGCGATATCCATAATACCGAGCCTTAGGGTTAACAACTCATGGCTTCTGGATACTAAAACAAACAAACAAACATTATTTTTAGCAAAACTGTAGTATATACTAAGTAGTCTTCTTCTTTGTGTTCACCAGCTGTACACTCTGGCGTAAAGTTCTGGTTGTTCGTCCACTTCTGGACTGCAGTCATGCTCCAGAACCTGAGTGTTGCATGTGCATCAGTTTTACAGATCTGATTCAATTGAATGCAGACTGCTGGTACCTTGCCTCTCAGGCAGATGCACTCCGACTTCAAAGGAAGCTCCCCAGTTAGTCGACTCTTACGACATGCTTTTGGGGAGGCAGTGGGTCTATTCTTGTTTTCCCCACAATAGGGCCCCGGAACCCACACGTGGGACAGGCAGTAGGTCTATTCTTGTTTTCCCCACAATAGGGCCCCGGAACCCACACGGAGGTACTTAGTAGTGAGTACCCGCACCTTTTTAGATACTTTGTAGTTGGTACCGGCACCTTTCTTGCTATAAATGGGGAGAAAATGTTCTGGCTGTAGCCAACCTTTATTGTGGTCACGATCATCACCCATCATGTGCCGTGCCGGTAAGCGTAGGTAGGCTGTCATTTTTTGCCACCTCACATGCATCGGCATTGAATGGTCTGATGGTATCCGGTGCGGACAATGTTTCGCCACTTCACACGAATTGGCCGTTCAAGGTCAGGTTGTAGCCCGTGCGGAAAATGTTTTGCCACCCCTGGACACACATAAACACACACATATTTAAATACGTTTAAAAAACACACATTTTTGTGTGCGTCTTTTTGTCACGCTTTTAGTGATGACACCCGGTGCGTCCAGCGCTTCCCTTC